AAGGCGGAGATGGGTAATCCATTCTCCCCCTTGAGAATGACATCCCATTTTAATCTCATTACCATTTTTGCCCTCTTGTCTCTATCCCTCTTTTGGGGANCCCCCCCCCCCCCCCCATAAAAAAAAAAAACTAATTCCCATTTTTCTGCTAAGAGCAACTTTAGTGGTTGAGTAATATAGGAGAAAATCTTTAGATGACATGAGGGAATCTGGAAGGAAGGATCAAAATGGAGAGAGATGAAGAGAGGGGGAAATTTTATTCTCTTAAGAAGTTAGGAAAAAAGTAAAAATAAAATATTAAACATATACCAAAATAAGAGTTAGAGAGAAAGATCAAAGTAGGACTAAAACATTGAAAATATACTAAAATAAGATTTCCATGTTTTAATTTCTGAAATAGGACTTACATTACCAAACATTGCCATGTACATTACCAAAAAAATATAGTAATGTGCACATGTACAATGCCACATTACCATAGTGCAAAGACCTATTTCGAGAAACAAAATATGAAAGTATTATTTTGATACTTTTCTCTATGTTTTAGTCTTATTTAGTGTAATTTTTATAAGAGTTTTATGTTTTTATTCTCGAAATATGAGTTAAAACATATGAAGTATTTATATTCATTTATATTACTAAATGAAAAAATAAAAATTTTTATTATAAAATGGTTGAAAAAAATAAAAAAGAGTACTCCCTTTAAATTTAATTTGAAGGCTTAAAAAAAAAGTACACCACTTGGGCAAACAGCTTAACAGCCTCTAAACTCGGTCGGAAATCCCATTGTCACGTACGGAGGGAAAAAAGTTCATAATGAGTATTAAAAACAAAATAAAATAATGAGTTGATGTAGACCCAAGAGAATCATAGACTTTATTACACTCCAAATCCAAATTATATGTATCCAAACTCCAAATCCAAATAATTTGGAGTAGTTCTTTAATACAGTTTGGAGTTTGGATACATATAATTTTTTGTAAACCTTCTAACATTAAAAACTTTTTTTTATTCTTTTATTTAAAAAAACAAATGCTTATCTAAAGCTGCATTCCGTTCACTTGATCTGATTTTTTAAAATTCTGATCTTATTTGATCTGATTGTATCTAATCTAGTTTGATCTACTTATCTGAAATAACAAAATATTCTTATCACTTCTTGCTTCACAAAATTTTTGACTTAATTTTTAAATATACAAGTTTTATTATGTATTTCTATACCAATCTTTATATAAAATGAATTAAAAAAACTTAAAATATCATCTCATTTTGCACAAAAATGAAAAACATTTTGGGAAGGTGTATAATTTTTTTAAAGTTTAAATAGTTTTTTTAATTTATTAAAGTTTGTATAACTTTTTTAAATACTAACATATTTATACTTCATGGACTGTATTTGATTGACGAAGTGTAGTTAGTATTTTCGAGTATGACTATCCCTACTTAAAAAAGAAAGAAAAAACCTATAAAAAAATAAAAGAATGTGAGAAGGTGAATTTATGATAGATTGAAAATTGTGATATGATAAAAAAAGGAGCACAGGATATTAAATTTTATCCGAACCAAAACATATATGAAACCAAAATATACCCGTAACCATAGTTTTAAAAACCGGACTGCACCGGCCGGTTCAGATCGTGAATCGGCAAACTGATTGTCCAACCGGTCCGGTCCATCCCTTTCGACCGTGCTTCAAACCAGTCTAAACCAGTAAGAACCGGTCGGTCAAACCGGGCGGACCTTTTTTTTTGCACATTTTGCAATTTTTTCCAAAAGCATACCACCATAGAGGTTTGAACAAAAGATCTCTTAGACATTTGATTAAGTTCTTAACCATCCAAGCTAAGGTGCTTTTTGTTACACATTCACTTAATCTTTTATAATATTTTATAATTAAAAAAAGATTATAGAAAGATTTTTTTTCAGTTTTAAAAATATAATATTATATAGCCACGAGTCAAACACAAAATCATTTATATAAATGATACTATTGCAAAATACATATCATGCAAAGATTTCATTTGAGTGTTTTTTTAAAATTAAACAACTTATTTGAAAAAAATAATAAAATCAACTCTTCATTTATAAAATTTTTAATATTATTTTTTTTAAATATGTAAATTTTATTTTTTAACTCAGTAAAATAACTCAAGTATATTAATAAAATTTTAGTAAAATGTTATAAATTACTTTCTTTAGGTATTTATAATATAAATGAGGGGAGTGTGTGTGTGTGTGTGTGTGTGTGTGTGTGTGTGTGTGTGTGTATATATATATATATATATATATATATATATATAATTTTTAAATATGTTTAAACCACCGGTTCGACCAGTGAACCAGTACGTTCGGTCATCGGTCCGATTCTGAAAACTATGCCTGAAACAGAGATCTATCCGAACCATATTTGAACCGATCCCGAACCAAAACCCAAAAATGTACAGAATCAAGTTAAATCCGAACACAATCAAACCGAAACAAACCGAAATGATTATAACATATATCCGAAGAATATTATTTTGGAAGAGAATAATCTATGGGTGCAAACCTCATAATAACCCTTTATCATTGTTCTTTACTTTTTCGTGGAAGCGCAGTCCACAGTAGTACGCTATTGAATACGCTTATCGTTGTTGCTTTTCATTTGAGAACCATGGAGCCGCAGAAGCAAGGAGTTGGTGACCACAAATATTGAGCTAAATGCCATCAGCCCTCCTGTTAACATAAAGAGAATGGACAGTTAGGGTATCAACTTAGTTATTATTACCCTACAAGTCTCAACTATCGTCCTCCGGTGCCTTGAGTCGAGGGTCTCTACAAAACAAACTCTCTACTTTCTGGCTAGGGATAAGATTTGCGCACACATATCCTGTCAAGACCCCAGAAAACTGGGTCTGTTGTTGTTTAGCATAAATCTGAACCTCAATGCCCGAAAATGGGGGTCCTAACCAATCACTAATCACTACACTACTAGTACAAGCAATAAGGCCATCCCTGGCATTTCCTGGTCAAGTTGGGTCTACCCACTTAAAACCAAACATACAGTTTTATACGTTTAGATTGAAGAGGGTTTTCACTTTTCCCACATTGTCAATTTGTCATTCAAGCATTCATTGTTTAATTGTTTAACAGTCTTTATACCTGACTTAGGGATAAGCATTGTTTGATGACAAGTACTAGAGAATGTTGGTACATACCTGACAGAGATGGTGTCATGGCAAAATCAAACTTGGGAAGTAGTGCTCCGGCCGCTATGGGAATTGTGACCATATTATATACTACTGCCCAAGTCAAGTTTTGATGAACTTTTGCCATGGTTGCCCGCGCGAGGTCAAATGCTTCAACAACCTAGCAATCAATTGAGGTGAGGACATCGTTTATAATAATTACTGCATGTATCCCAAAATTCTCTTCCTACTTTGACTTGACAAGCATATTAAGAAAATAAATTGTCGTTCTCTTTAATTTAGTGTATGTTTAGTTCTAGGAAACTGTTAGGGAAAGAATAAATGCTACAAAAGGTAATTATATTGTGTTCAATTTCACCACGGAAAATGGGATGTGACATGTTTTCTTTGTGTGTTTAGATTACTAATTATTTATGCAATATAAACAAATAAAAAAACTGAGTTTGAACAAATATAATAAATTAACTGCAAAGTTTGAAAAAAACTCACTATTTCCTGTTCTCCAAAATATTCATCCCTATTATCTTTCCCCTGATTTTCCAAGTGCCAAATTGATTCTTAGAAATAAGAGAAACAGTTTCAACCACACAATTCTTTCTTTATAAGAAAACCAGGATGACATTTTTGGGATAACATGGAAAGGAAACCACAGAAAATTTTGGGACACAGGATATACATGGATTTATGGAATGCAAGTAAATCCCCATCTTTATGAGAAGTCACAGACAAAGATTCCAATTTCTTAAACCTAGTGGAATACTGGTTGGGAAGATAGAGACGTAATTCACCGGGAGCATTATTTTCCTTAGCTCAAAATATACACAAATGTTGCCTTTTGGCAGTTTGCTCGCAGCATAAAGGAATTCTAGATTTCTAGGATACAAGTGATGATAGAACACTTCATTTTTTCATGGAAGCTTTATTTGACTACTTCTGACTAACCTCAGTAGCGATCTTACATCCCATCAAGCAAAATTTAAGTGGTCACGACAAAATGTATGGCTGCTATTTAAAAGTAACAAAGTAAATACCATGACCATGATGATGAGTTGAAAATCCAAACCTGAGAAAGTCTGTTTCCAAGAAGTATAATTGATGCCGCGTTAGAGGCTGCATTTTCTTGGCCTTCAACTTGCAAAGCTATCCCGACATCAGCAAGAGCCAGAGAAGGTGCATCATTAATGCCATCGCCAACCTTCATTTAAAAAAAATTAGAGAACTAAATCCTCTGATCAGTCTATTCCACAAACTGATTTAAAAAGCATGGCTTGTGTCCTGTATTTCCTAAACGGTTGTGTATGCCATTTCATATGAAATAGCGTGACACAGGCACACATTCAATTGTGCTTGTTTGAATGAGAGCATTTAACAGTGAGACACATTAAATAGAAGGCCAAATACCATGGCTAGACGATGGCCTGAAGCTTGAAGTGTTGAGATGGTAGCAGATTTTTGCTGTGGTGTCAGGGATGCATTAACAAATTCATCCTGTATCCCAATCGTTTTTGATACGTTTGCAACTGCCTCTTCCCTGTCCCCTGATAAAAGCAAGGTTCTAATTCCCTTCTGTTGAAGCCTTCAATTGGTAAAAATGAAAAAAAAATCAGTAAGGGACGAAAAGCAAATCATCAGGGAATGTTTGAAATCTAGAAGACATTAAGATCCAATGATTGACCTGATAATCTTCTTAGTTAAAAAAGTTCAAAAAGCAATTCTCAGGAGAAACTGCACAACAAAATGCCTTTCAAGTGACCACTCATGGCTTTAAGAAATGTGTAATGACTATTTTTACTATATTTGTTAGCAATTCTAATACCGGCAAGGTTTTTCTTTTACCAATTTATGTCAACATGAGAGGCTGTCAAGAACACATTGGACACGTAAGGGGCCATGACCTAGCATGAAGATCATGTTAGATTACAGTTGAGTTAGGTGGAAAGTTCAACACAACATCAGAGTCAGAGCCATGCTTGTGGGTCTCAATGGTTTGGGGCAATGCCCGCCCGATATGCCCATCAGATGTCCAGCCCTGCGCTAGGCTGAGAAGGTGTGTCATTGTGTCATAGAAGAATTCCACATTGGACACGTATGGAACCATGAACTCACCATCCTTTTGGGCTTAAGTTAGGCCTAAATAACAGGGCCCCACATACCTCTTAATTGTAAACTCAGCATCAGCACGTAAATTATCAGATATTGCAATAGCACCTATAATGCCTTCATCCTCCCTACCAACATATACAACTGTCATTGAATGCCTTGATGATGAACTGCTTAATAGTAACTGATGCATCAGAGACTGCTCAAGATTCTTTAAATCTGAGATGCTTGTTTTTCGATTGAAGCGTTCACTAACCCATTCCAGTTTCCCAACAGCAACTAAAAGGCCATCTACTTCTGCCATTGTTCCTGAACCTGCTTCTGCTAATTGTCCTAGTGTAACAGGGATATCCAACTTCAATGATTCTGCCTTGCTTAAAATAGCTTTGGCAAGAGGATGTGATGCTGTTCTCTCCACAGCAGCAGCAATTCGAAGAATATCTGATTGCTCAACATCCAAAGATGCAATAGCAGAGACAGCAGGTTTTCCTTCGGTGAGGGTCCCTGTCTGCAAGTAATTTGTGAAGGTCAAGCAGTACACAATAAAGAAACTTTTTAGACATTCATGATTATTCCTTCCATTTTCTTACATTTAAATATTAGATTCTTATGAAAAGTACTGTCATGTTGCATAGACTAGAGGCTTTAGCTACCTTGTCCAAAGCAACATAGTCAACACCTGCCAATCTTTCCAGCACATCTCCTCCTCTTATAAGAAGTCCTTTTTTTGCTCCTGTTCAATTTGAATGACCAAGTACAGAAGACCACAAAATTTCAGCATCACAGTGAAGCACTGTAATAAATGTAAGTGCTAGATGATGAAGATTGAAGATAAAAGATACTCGTGGAAATGTAGAATTAGGGAAATGATAAAAGAAAATAAAAAATGCTACGTGGTAAAGAAGAATATTATTTCAAAATCATGTTATAATCCTTTATCATTAAAAGTTTCTTTAGTGCATGTGCCATAGATATCCGTTTTGTGAGACTAGTATGTTTATATAGTATCAAACTGGAATATAATACTCACATCATGTTATTCCATTTATAGAATTAGAAGCAATATAGATATCCGTTCAATCGGAAATAACTGTTACATGACATTTAAACTTTAAAGAAATTTTTGCACTTTGTATCCGAGTTGTGCGTGATTTGTCACTTTGGTCCTTTATCTTTCATCTTTACAACAACAACAACCCAATTGGATCCCACGAGAGTAGGTTCTAGGGAGGGTGTGTGTAAGTGTGACCTTGTCTCTACTCGAAAGTAGAGAGTGTTTCCAAGAGACACCCGGCTCAAGTAATAATACATCACAGGAGATACATAAATCAGAGAAAGCATAGATAAAGCACAAAGCACACAGAGGCAAAGAGCAAACTAAAGTTAACGAAGGAAAAGTATTGCAATTAGAGCACCAAACATACAAGGTAAACAAAGCACACAACAAAGTACAGAAAACTACAACACTCGATACTCATAGATGACAGATCACATCATAATATTGCCTTTTTAGTCCTTCAACCAACATTTTCCATCCATTTCTGTCGACTATATAATACTAGTATGAACCGAGTAAGATTATACACACACTTATAAGAGACACTAGTGAATTGTTAATTAAAAGAACAGAAGATGATTCGTAAAAGACTAAAAATGCAGCTTCAGCAATGTGGAAGTATGACACAGCTAAATGATATGTACAAAACGAAGCAGAGACCAAAATGATTAGTGATTAGTCGCGCACAACTTAGGGACAAAATGAAATATTTCCATGTTTAAAAGTAGTAAATATCAGTGGTAGGTGCATGATAGACTCCTCTTACTAAATAGTCTCCCCAAACAAAAAAGCATACATAATATACTATATACCCCATCTTATTCATTTGTTTTAATGTTGTCAATTTCCATGATGTGCAATTTGATTTTACAATATTAATCTTGCAATCACACATAACTAAAATAACTACTCAACTCATCGTCATTTCACGATAATGACGATATGATGACGGCTTTGAAATTTATTTCTTCTTTAGCAGGTACTGACATGAAGAGCATCCAGGGCAAAACATTATCACTATGTTTTTAACATGTTATAAAGTATAGTTTCATAAGAAGTAACACGATGTAATGAAACAACCACCCAATACACCCCTGTATGTCTTTTTTACAGAAGGTTGTTTGTGTTAGACCCTTGATGCAAGCCGCATTTACTACCCAAAACTTCATAGAAAATAAGAAGCAAAAGAAGTTTAACGTGTCACTTTGGTTTAGCCCATTATTTACTTGAAGCTAAAGTATTGTAAAAAATGACTAGTTTAGCTCCATTGCCAATAGGCACACGTGGTGAAATGTAATGCAATGATTGTGGGACCCAACTGGGTTGTTGTTGTTTGCCAATAGGCACACGTTGTGAAATGTAATGCAATGATTTTTCACTCTTTCCTTTTCTATTTCATCACCATTTTTGAGCCAGCAACTAAATGTTTTTGATAGGCTCTCGTAGGGCATATTAGTATGGGAAAAAATGGATCAGGAAAAAGCAAAATGAAGATGATTTACCTAGTGAAGTGCCAACTAAAATTGCAGTGGGTGTTGCAAGACCTAATGCACAAGGGCATGAGACAACCTGTGAAGTAAATCCGTGGGTTTTTTGGGAAAAGAGAGTATTAAATTATTTCCCTGACATAGATAAATATATCTAAGTACAAATAAATTTACATTTAAACACAATAAAGAAAATATTATTAGCTACAATTCTACAAAAGATACAGGAAAACATGTTTCTTAATAAATTATACTCCCTACATCCCATAAAAAGGTTCTAAATTACTATTCATATGGACAAAGTTTCATCACATAATCTCGTTGACCATTTGACAAAGTAAAATAGTCATGTCACATCTTGCTTTATAGAACATTTGATGCAGTTATTAAATATGTAATCTTTATTTTTTAATTTACACCAATTTTCATATAAATTGAATTAAAAATAACTTTAATCAAACATAATAAACAAAAACTGGAATCTTTTTATAGTACGGAGGGAGAACACTTTATAGGCCCAAGGCCCAACTAATTCCCTAAGTGCTAGACCCATGTCTGCCTAGCGTCTATTGCCTTTTAAGAAGCTAATTAAATGTTAGTCAACATTCGACACAATTAAATCTGTTAAAATTCCGGTGGACCGAGAATAACGGGTGGAGTGTCAGGTAAAATTAACCACTTGTATATAAAGTCGGGATCCACTATTCTAACCCAAAAGCTTAAGGTGATAGGTAGGGCTTCACCCTTCTATATATGTTGTGGTATTATTCTTTATTTTCCGATGTTGGAACTCCAACTCTCCCCCTCAAGGGGTAACTAGCTTGGCCTAGTTAGATCTTGGACAAACGAGTCTAGCATCTCAATCTCTTATAGCTAGCCCACAAAACGAGCGGTGACATCTCAATCTCTTTTAGTCAACTCAACCCAAACTACGAACGAGTAGCTTATTTTGCTAAACCCACGTCCAACAACCATGAAAAAATCAAACCCATACCTGCTCTGGTACCATGTTAAAATTCCGGTGGGCCGAGAACAATGGGTGGCGTGTTGGGTAAAATTAACCATTTGCATATAAAGTTGGGATCCACTATTCTAACCCAAAAGCTTCAGATGATAGATAGCGCTTCACCCTTCAATATATGCTAGTGGTATTATTCTTTATTTTTTGATGTGGGAACTCCAACAAGGAATTTTAACATGGTATCGGAGCAATTCCGGTCCGGGTTCAATTCTTCCTGGTTGTTGGACGCGGGTTAAGCAAAAAAATGAGCTACCCGTCCGTGTTTTGGGCTGAGTTGGCTAAAAAGAGATTGAGATGCCACCGCTCGTTGTGTGGGCTAGCTAAAAGAGATTGAGATGCTAGACTTGTTTGTCCAAGTACTAACTAGGTCACTAACTAGGTCAGGCTAGTTACCACTTTGAACATGCTTGTGTCTTCTTTGTTGGTTTACTTTGACTGTGTCTAAGCTGAGGGTCTCTTGGAAACAACATCTACTTTTGAGTGGGGTTAAGGTCTGCAAGCACACGCCCTCCCCACACCCTACTTTGTGTGAAAATTTACTGGATTTGATGTTGTAATGTCAATTACTACAAATATCACATTAAAGAAGAAAAATTGTGTCTCAATAAGCCAGAATGGCAACTTATATGCTCATTATGGAATACCAGGACATCAACAGCAAGCTTTAAGCTAAGAAGCATAGGGTCTCCATTTCGTCCAGCAATATCATTCAGCAAAACATCTGGGAAGATTTTTGAACCGAGATAGTACCTAATAATGGCCAGCAACATATATGAAACAAACACAACTACAAAATCATACTTAACACAGTACATCAAGACACCCCTTACTATGCCAAATAAATCAAACCCCACTAAATAAAGTATATTGAAACTTGTTTTATATGATACATGTTAACACTACAACCCATGTAATTATGTTACTTGTGCAAGAATTAACACCCCTAAGAATTTCTCAAGGACATGATTTTGGAGAAGGTTGGCTGTAAGATACTGCAACCAAGACAGATACACGGATAACAGAATATTATATTAACAGTATTAGTTCATCAACATAGCAGGATAAAAGTGGCTTCAAGGATGAAGCTTGTGGGTAATCTTGCTTTTATTAGTGATCATATAGTCTGTGCGCATGTGCTTTTAATATGAAAAGGGAGCACCATATTTCTCTAATGCACTGGCCAATAAAGAAAAGGCATACCAGAAAGCAAAGGTTGTTGCTGATAACGTCATTATACTGAACACAAATGGTCCAGCAATTGAATCTGCAAGCCTCTGTATTGGTGCTTCGCGGCCTTGAGCATCCTCAACCTGTAAAAGGGGAAGGACACTTCAGTGTTTTGCAAGCAACAACCATTTAAACTTTACTTCCTAGTTTCTGTCATTTCCTATTGAAAAATGTCGCTACTTTTTTGGTAATTTATTAGTTTTGTGTAGAATAATAGTTTAATAGTCACAGATGATAGAGTCATTCTCAAGTCGGGCTATCAGAAAGACACATATCCAATAAATGATTGCTTGTCATTAAGTAAAAGGAATGATTCCTTTCAAACATTTGGGGCATGAGATCAATCTATGAAACATCAGTGCACTTTTCTGCTCAATGCAAGTTTTAAACTAATCAGGACTTCATATTCTTTTGGGAACTTCAATGAATTTGAGATCTCAGATGCAAGTGGCCAACTTATTTTTGTGCCTGTACCAAGAAAACTACTTTCCAAAAACTGAGAGTTGTTGTTTATCTTCCTCAGTTATACACGTATGTTAAAAACAATATATGCATTAAATAATTAATGCACCAGATCCCCCCCACCCCCACGATAAAAACACTAAAGAATCCAACCGAGTTACCATGTTAACAATCTTGGATATAGTTGAGTTTGAACCAGTGGAGGTGGCCTCAATTTTTATTGGACTATCCTGAAACAAGATATGAAATTTGGAATATTACATTTCAGTGCAATCAACATCAATGACACAATTACATGTAAAGTTTAAAGGATTTCTTTTTTTTGGTACACATAATGAAGGAAAATGTTAAAACCTACTCACAGATGATTCTAACCCCAGAAACAAATATCATACCCAATTTATTGTTCCAGCTGATACAGACAAGTCTTTCTCTTTGAACACGGGAAGGGATTCCCCAGTAAGCATAGATTCATCCACAACACTCCTACCTGCAACAACGTTACCCTGCATAGTATGACCTAGCAGTTAGAATGCAACCAGCATATCCACTTAAAAGTGACCCAAAAGTAAAATAAAGAATATGAATTTCTTAGGAAAATCTAACCATTAGTGGAGTTACAGATGAATTCATTTCCATCTTCTCTTGTGGAGAAAAAATTAAATCCGAGTTCTAAAATGTGGCAACCTAGTTTTGTCCTTAAATACTTTGTTATTTAAAACATGAACTAACATTAAAATCATGTTAGGCACTTACATTTGATAATTTTGACACAAAAATAAATAAAGCTAAAAATGTACTATAGCTTTTTACGAGAAAACGATGTAGGCCCTATGCTTTCCTACGCCCGCCTAGAGCCTTATATAACAAAGGTTTTAATATAAAAGTGGCTACTAGACAATTATCTATAATCCAATTTAATTAATTCCTACTCCACACATGGATACACTGATACATCGCAAAAGATGCAATGTTCTACGGTAAAATTCATATAAACACAAAAAAATCATCTATAAGAGAATCTGAAAACAAGTATATATGCAATGCTACAACTGCTCTTCACTGATATGGAAGTTATCCTACATTTGGATGGTAAGGTATCAGTGTATCACTAACTTGAAAATGAAAATACAGCATAAAAAATGAATGATCTTAGAAGGTTTTAGTTATAATTAGATATCCATATTCCATAACTTCAGAAATACTACTTCAGAGGAGAACTAATGAACTTACATCTACAGGTATTGTTTCTCCAGGCAAAACTAATAATGAGTCCCCAACACGAATATCATCAGTTGGTACTTCAATGTATATTGCATCAGAGCTGACCACTTCACTTGAGGAACCACTTCCGCTGGGAGTAACCACAAGTCTGGATTGAGTGGATATAAGTGACTACAGAAAGATCCCAACAACAGCTTATCATTTATCAAAGAATGATATTCATATATTATACAGACATTATTTAAAAAAACTTTAAACTAAATTTTGATAGGTTAAGGTGCCAATTGAAACTCCATTTCATCATGAGCAAAACAATGAAAGTTCTGTTATATGTCTATAAATTTGATCTTTTACGGTTCTACCCAATGAAAGAAAGTTGGGACTCAAGCACTTCTTTAGCAATACTTTTTAAATGCGGAGAAGAATGCTTATCATGGTCTGATGGAGGAGTTTAGATTCTTATAGAATGTGGTTGACCTCAACAATCCACGTCTATGTGGACTCCGACAAAATCACATAAAAGATTGCCTAGCTATCGTGGATATGAGTGCTGTTTACCCCGTCAAGCAGACATCCCGCCCAACATGGCAAGCTGCAAGTTGGGGACAACTGCAGATGACCCACACTTGATGCTTGACACTGATAGATCTAGGATTGGGTAGGGATCACTAGACTTGGCCAACAAAATTAAAAGATTGAATCCAAACGATTACTTAGTTCAACTAAAGAGCTTATATTCCGATGAGGGATAGACTCTAACACTCCCCCTCAAGTGAACAACCAGGTCATTTTGAATCTAACCGGTTGACCACTTGCAAATGAATTCACATCTCTTGATTTTTTTAGCACCAACACCTAAAGGACCACGAGTCGCTAGGTATGGACTTCCAGACGAGCAATCGGGTTAAACGAGCCACAAGCTATTGGATTTACATTCCACGCAGACAACTGGCTAAAGACTAGGGATAAATGTCTAGACGGACACCTTAACAAATGAGGTGGGCTAAAACTGGCTCTGATACCATGATAGAATTTAAGGATGGGGTAGGGATCACTAGACTAAGCCATAAGACACTTGAGCTGAACCATATTAAAAGATTGAATCCAATTGATTACTTAGTTCAACTCAAGGGCTTATACACCGATTACTTTTCTGTCCAACTTCCGATGTGGGATAGACTCTAACAAACACATCAGGCAACTTGTCCCACTAGATGGGAAAAGAGCGTTTTATTAGCTAAAGGGAATATAGTTGTCGACCCCTAAGTTGTACTCGTAGCATAATTATCTTTTTTGTCTCTAAATTGTACTAGTATCAAATTGAGAAATGTTCTAGCTTAAGTCCCTAAGCTCTCATATTCAAAGCTGTTTTAGTAATTCATTAAAGTATTAAACACTGTTGTTAAGATAAATGGAAATGTGAGAACTGTAAATAAAATGCTAAAATTGTATTCTTGCATTTCATATAGTGGAATAATGTATATCTGGATCCTAAACAAATGTATGATAGTACAAGCAAGGTTTGCTAGTTGCCACAGATAACGATTCATGGATGTAATCAGAAGTTGATGGTGCACAAAACTGAAAAAAACACAATTATTTTAGTTAACTACTCTCTCTGTCCCGTAGTTGTGTCCCTTCTTTCCTATTTGCCTATTTGGGTAGTACTAGAATTGTCCTACTTTCCTTCTCAAGTAAGGATTATGTAGTTCGCCTTCTTTCTCTCTCTTTGAGACAAACTCCAACCACACAATTTTCACTTTTTTAAAAAGCATGCCAACTCAAACAGAGAACATAATTTTGGGACGGAGGGAGTATAAAATGTGATAATATAAAATACAAAATAACGAGGCCACAAAAGGAAATTGGGAAGATAATTTAGGAATAGAGGAAGTAACTAATTTCGTCACTTTTGTCTATCTTTTTTTTGTCACATTTTTGTTAATTACTCTTCAAATAGTAAAACTATTGTCTTCTAAAGAAAAGATTTTACCTTCACTTTTTAGTATTTTCACCTTCGACTTTGTTTTTTATCACCAATATCTAACTAGAAGCCAAAACCACTACCTATATGAGAGTTTAAGCGTAAAAACTAGGGACAATAAAACTATTTTAGTGGAACTTAGGAGTTAGGACATAACTTCATAGTGGTTCTAAGTGGTTTGTCGGATGGGAAAATCTTTTTTTCAAGTTGTTGGCTTGTAGGCGGGAATCCTGACTAGCATTCAAACTACATCTAATATATTTTCCAAATTCATGCTTCAATTAAAAAAAAAGGTAGAATTACAAATAAATTATCAACAAAAGTAGGCCTACAAATACATCCCTTAAAATTTAAACTTGACATCCAAGAGGTCTCACAATAGCAATAGCAGAGAGCAACTGATCACTAATCTCTCTCCCCCTCCCCTCCGTACCTCTTTCACTGATAATTGCATGTCACATGGTTGGAACAGTTCTAATTTTTAACCTTAAAACTCTGCTTATGGACATTTGAGGGAAGCCTCAAATCCCTCTCCCCCCAACACACACCCCTCACAACTACGAGCCATGATAAAAAGATAAGTTGGAGGAACACTTAAATAGTTGTATGACTAGAACTTACCAGTAACTCATTCATGTCACTAGATGCTTTCAGTCTCGCTCTTTCCTCCAGAGAACGCCCCAACAGCACAAAGCCAAGAAGCATCACCTGCATGCTAAAATAGTTTACAGAAAAAAAACTGCCTATAAAGTATAAAAAAGTGTAATTACTAATTAGATACATATACTCCCTCCGTCCCCTTTTAAATTACAATATTCCATTTTTGAGAAAATTAAGGAGAAGTCAAATCATTAAATTTTCCCCAAATTACCCCCAATTAAGGAGGAGTCATATCATTACATAGGGAGATGGAAGGGAGGGTAAAATGGTCTAAATGGTGTTAAAATTGGAACTTTGTAATTTGTTTTGGCACAAGAATGAGAGGGAACATTGTAATCAAATTAGGGACGGAGGGAGTATTTCTTTGTGAGATATGATATCTATGCCTAATTGCCTACTTAAGTCAAACGGCTAAAAACAACTAAAAACCAATGGATTAAACATATTTTAGATAAAGGAAAAGCATGTAGAATTACTCTCCTACACGTAAACCACTCACCTAAAGCAAATATGAGAAAAACCAAAGGAGCATTTAAGAGCATCTTTATCCATTTCCTTCACTTTCCCCTTTCTCTCTCCTCTTTTCCATTCCACATCACTTTCCCTCTTAATTTTCCTCGCATCACTTTAATAATTTCTCACACTTTTCCTTCTTTTTTAAATGATGGACCCCACATGTATAAATTAATTTATCTACATAATTTTTATTATAATAAACAAAGATAATTTATTTATGAAAAATTAACTAAAATTATATTTTTAGTTTTAATATAAAAATATGTCCCATAATTTTTTCTTTATATTTTATTATTAAAAACTTACATATAAATTATTATACTCGTAAAAAAAACGGAGTACTAAACCACACAACACTACCATACAATTTTTATTTTTTAATTAACATCTAAATTATGTTGAAAAAAATATGAAACTACATATGTCATGCGGAGTATTTTTTATGGTTACACATGTCATATTTAATATTAGTTTTGTGGAAAATGTAATTTTTGATGGGGAAAATTTTGACTTTGAAAACACGGATTTTGAAATTCAAAATTTGGATTTTGAGAATTTGGAATATTTGGAAACAAATTAGGAAAATTTATATTTGGATTAGGATCTCTTGAAAATAAAAATTAGAGTATAAACATGAATTTTTGTGGTTATTGGAGTGAATATGAGATTGGGATTTATAATTAAAGGATCTGAAAAAAACTAATGGCTAAAAAATAAAAATATTTTTTTATTTGAACCGGAAACAAAACTTGAAAGTTTAGTTTCAAATTAAGTGGAAAACCAAAATTAAAAAAATAAGTGGAAAGCCAAAAGATTAGGTTGGTTTCCAACGTCTTGACCAAATTTTTGTAAAAAATATTTTCTCTTCTTTCCCCCGATGAAAACACCTTCCTCTCATCTCTCTTCTCTTTTCCTCTTCACATTCTAACCATTCCCCCATCTTTCTTCTTTGCCACATCATATTTTCTCATGCTTTCCCTCTCCACTAGGGATGCTCTAAGGGAAAAAAAGTGGATAAACTCATTAAAATGTATCAGGAATATAGAGAGGAGAGAACAAACAGGTTCATCAAAAAATGATGCATCCCACTGAAGATCAGGATTAAGGAGTGAGACCTGCAAAGAGGGAAGCTTTTCAATGTTTGAGGCAGTGAGGCCTAAATAAATAGACTATTTATCACTCTGCAACAGCTAAACTACTACAAAGAAAACTGAAATAATAAAAGAATGCCCAGTTTCAAACAACTCATACAGCACTTATGCTGAATGCAGCAAGTGATCCAAAACCAACAAGAGAGTTCATATTTGGTGACCCCTTCATGAAGGCTCGTACCCCATCAGAAAGCATGTCTGGAAAATAAAAATACTTCAGTCAGGGTCTAATGAACAGTCACTTGACGTCCAATTGTATATAAATAATGTATTTTTATGAAATACCTTAAATTACATCTCAATGAAACAATAACAGTTGCAAATTTGAATTCTGCAAGTAATACTACAAAGTCTACAAATATAGAGAATGGTTTCAAGTTTAAGTCTATAGCTATAAGTTGAGGGTATGCATTCCAGAGAAATCAAAATGCACAATTCAATGAGCTCGATATGGCTCTGGAGTGTTACACATACAATGCATTTAATTCAACTCCAGAGACCCGTGAATTGTTATGAATAATACAAAGGGTCATAAAATGGGAATAAAGATATGATCAAAAGCTTTTTTTAATAACAAATATTCTGCAATATGCTATGGCACTGCAGTAACTTGAAACAAAGGCCATAAAAAATGAGTGCAATACACTGCCTACTTTACGCAATATACATCGTACAACCGGTTGTATGGTGTTACCGAATGCTCATTTTCGAGCAAGTGAATACTCATTCTCGAGTAACTGAATACTCATTTCTCTAAAATTCTCATTTCTCTAAAATTTAGTTATGCTCAAAAATGAATATCCAGTTACTCGAAAATGAGTATTTAGTTACTCGAAAATGAATACTTTGTTACTCGACAATGAGTATTAATGCGGATGTATAGGAAATACCGTACAACCGGATGTATGGTATAGGTACTCTCCTACTTTAGAGGTGAATTGAAGGATTCTAATAATGAAGTTTTGGATTTCTTGGGGTTTCTATTATATTATTCACTTAAAGATTCAAAAATGACTTCGATATTTGTACTTTCTACGAGTTGACTATCAAATAAACATGTGATGTGGCCTGCCTCGAGGGCGTGCAAGATGAGCACCGGCACAAGGCCCATATTTTGTAGCTCCCAAAGGTTCATTGAACTCCCTATTTGAAAGTTTTAAAATTAATTTTTGAATATAAATATAAACTCTGTATTTGATTGTAGAAGAAGTACTATACAAGGTATAATATGTATAAGAAAATGAGAACATAAGCAGGAAGGGAATAAAGCTGAAATCTTGAAAGGTCCGTGTCACTGACCTCTTCCAGGCCCTAATAGAGCTCCTAAAGCCAATCCACCTTTCAAGTAGGAATTATGCAGTAGGTCCATGAAGGGCCCTAAACAGACATTTTACAAGTGTTTGCTTAAAACGAATGAGAATGGTAAAAAAAATACTTAATGGAAATAAGATAACAGAATAAAAGCAAAGAGTAGAATACATTGTTTGATTTGCTTTACCATAGCCGACATGGAAGCCCAAAGAGTGCAGAATATGGGACCCGTGAGCTCCACAACAAAGAGCCACCAGCGTCCAGGCAAAAGCCACTCGGTTACGACTCTCGGCAAGCAAAGCTTCCTTCTTCGCCACCATCTCCTTCCAGTTCTTCACCTTGTCCTTGATCCCAAGCCAGGAAGCTCTCTTCTTCGACGGAAAGCCACATTCCGTCAGCCTCTTAGCCAGATCCTCAGCAGCGCACCCCTCCGCCACAGAATCCGGTTTCAATTTCACCGCCGCCGTCGCAGTTAGCAAGTTGACCACGGCTGACTCGACTCGGTCGTCGGCTGAAAGGATTGATTTGACTTGTGAGACGCACGCGCCGCACATCATCCCCGTCACATCCAAAAGCACCGTCGAATCCTCCGGGTTGGCCTGCTTCTGGACCTCCTTCGGAAGGTCGAAATCGATTGGCTTGGTGAAGACGCCATTACAGATCAAATGGGGATCGCTGCGGCTTCGGTTGAGATTGACAGGATTGAACTGGAAAGTCCTGATTCTAGAGTAGTGGAAGTTGGGAATGAGCTTCGCGTTTGAGGAGAGAGGAGTGCGGAGGATATTCGCCGCCATGGTTTCGTCGGAAACGGAGGTTCCGATTGACGGGAAAATGAGTTGATAGGTGACCGTGACATGGGTCAAAGGACCTGTGATCCCTTGGTGTGGTGGGTAGACATAAGTATAGAAACAGAGCATTTAAGAGCATTATTAATGGTAAGACATAAATAAAATGCTACACGGTGACATGGACTATTTCAAAAAATAAAAAATTATCCAGTCATCGTGTGACAAATGAGTGGAGTGTCTAACATACAGTGTCAAGTCATTGTTTTTTTTGTCTATTTTTGAACTTTTTAATGATTCTTAATTGTCAAAAATTATTTTACAAATTTATTTTATTATTAAAATATGTCTACTTCTTTTAAAAAATATTATTTTCAAAAATTAAAAATATTAAAAATATTTAAGAAAAAATTAAAAATGAAGGAATCATGCCTTGCACATAAATGAAAAATGGGGTGGAATGACCATGGAATGCCATGATTTGAGTGACATTTGCTGACATGGCTAGGCAAGGCAAGGCATTACCTTGTCATTGTGAATGCTCTAAGAGAGAAAAAAGATGGACCCCATCTATCTATGGGTCCACAAAATCAGATAGACAGCCGGTAAAAAGTTAGAGGCGTTATGTTTAACATAGTTATCTCTCAGCGTAATTATTATAGATTGAATTTGGATGCCACTTTTTTTGGTACTCTTTGTCTTGCCAATTGCGAGAGCCTCGACAACAAGGCATGGGAGGTGAAACCATCTCAAAAAAATTATGTTCTTCACTGTTCAAAAGTCACAAAAACTTTTCTTTATTTGTGCGTTTTGATTAATTATTAAATAAAATAAAATATTCTTGTTATTTTTTATTTTATAGAACTCTTGACGTATTTTTTAAATATGTAAATTTCATTTTTACCTTATATACCAATCATTAAATAAAATTAATTTTAAAAAACATAAAATTTCACTTCGTTTTGCGTAAAGTGAAACATTTTGGGACGAAGAGAATATGTAGCAAGAAAAAATGGAAAGAGACGATTAAGGAAAATGGAGGGCGTGTAGTTGGGACTTGTGAGGAGGATAAAATGCTCCTAGAGAAAAAATTTGAGCAATCAATTGAGGTTGTGATTTGCTTTGATTTTTGTTGTAACTTTTTTTTAGAAATTGAGATTTTAAGCTCTGGTTGATCCTCTGTTCAAATCAGCAATAGAGGATAGACCCTATGGGAATTTTTTTATTCTTGTATGTGAATAAAGTATTATAACTATACAAGGTTTTTTTACACGATCTACATGTTCTTTACCACCTCAACTGAATCCTGTTAGTCGATCAGGGTGAATAAAGTGTTTAAAAAATTTTTGGGGTTTAATAACATTGATGATTAGAAAGCGTGGAAGCAACGAATAAAATGCAGAGATTAAAAACATAAAATAAAGGTACAGCGATTTATATCGATTCAGAAAATCCCTACTCCAGTACATTAAGGCTCATCCTTAAGGATTTTCGAATCAACTAAGTCTCGGCCCCTTGAATTCCGTCAAAGCACTGTACTACATTTGGCAAACAACTCTTGTCAGAGCATCTCCAAAGTGGCTTGTTATTTGTGGCTTGCTATTGCTTTTTTTAGCAAATGAATAGTGATATAACAAGCCACTTTTTGCTCTCTTTTCCAACCATGACTTGTTATATTAAACTCTTTTCATCCCAAAATGTTTTACTCATTTTGATCAATGTGCAAAACCTCATGACTTTTGAAATAATTTTATTTACAAATTTGTAAAAATAAAAAATTATATTTAAAAAATTTACATCAAAAACTCTACAAAACAAAAGCTGATAAAAATATTTTATTTTATCAACTGATCAATGAAAACACGTAAACAAATACGAGTTATCGAGATGCCATAATAGTAAATGGGTAATTTTTTTTGGGACGGAGGGTGTAACTAACAAATATATTTTGTTCCAATAACCATTATAATACATAAAATATAAAAAGTTCTTGAATTGTATTTATCCATGTAAATGTAAAACAAAAGTACTCCCTCCGTCCGGAAAAGAACTTCTCATTCTACGTTTTTCTCCGTCCGTAAAAGAATTTCCCATTATACGTTTTCATACCCAATCTTCCTAAAATAACGGTATGTAATTAAAAATATAAAATAAAATGTTTTTAATTAAATTAAAATAAAATAAATCAAACAATTCTTTTTATATGGTAAAAAAATCACATTCACACCGGAAAAAAATGTTATACGGAGTATTTCTGCAATATATCGTTCCAAAAGAAATTCACATTAATTTTTGTTTAGCTATATTCTAGCATGCTAGTTATTAATAGCTAGTTGTTTTCATTTTTTAACAAGCTAGTCAAATTTTGAATAACCCTTTGGAGCATGAAATTTTGTATATGTTTGTCAAATTATAACATATAGCAAGCCATTTTGCTATGGTTGGAGATGCTCTCAATAGGATTCAAACACAATGGTCAATGGCTATTTCGAACCGCTTACAACGATGATTTGAAGGCTATCTTCTACCTTTCCCCCAAGGATTTGAAGGCTATCCTCAAACCTTTTACCCAAAAATTTCTCAGCTATCCTTAACCGTCTACACCAAAATTTATACGGATTTTCTTGACCATTACAATGAATGAAAGATGTATCTAAAAATACAAAAAAATGTTCAATACCTTTTGGCCTATGATAAAAAAAGATCAATCTTTGGCCGGTGATAAACAGAGCCCAGAGATTATACTCTCTAAAACAATACAAGATCAACCTAATGAATATGAGAGTATATACGTATAATTTTTTCCGACAACTATGTAGGTTTTATCATTTTTGGCCAAATCTTTTTCGATTTTGTTTAAAACCATTTAGATGTTTGAAAATGATTATAAGAAGGTTTTAAACACATTTTGTGAGTGCATTTAAGCTTGTGAATATAGACATATAAATACATGATCTTTAATTGAATTCAACCTAAGATTGGAAAATTAGGTCTTAGAGATAGATTTTGTTGGAAATTGACCAGTGTCTCACTCTCTTTTATACTATAATTCATGTATTATTCTATTAAACTGAATGCATTTTTATCTTTATATATTTTGATCTTATATGTATAGAATTATAATCAATCTGGTTAATAGTGTGAAGAGTATATACCAACCTTTTGAATTTAAAATTTTTTTCTTTCAACTCTGTCTAACACTCTTTTCTACTTGTAAGATCATCCACAAGCAAGTTCTTATACATATGACTATAGAGATTTGGGATGATATTTTTGTTTAATTTCGATAGTATAGAGTAGTGGGAGATGGTGCGACTGCTATGGGTGTGGAGATGACGAGCGAAAGAATGAGCATGTCAACAGGTTCAGTGTCTAAGAAGGTGAAGAAAGATCTTTTGGTTGAGACAATTACAACTTTTGCGAACTTATTCCAATAATATGTTCAGATCAATTTGACTTCAAAGGCCAACGAGAAAGAAATCCATGAGGTTGTTTCTAAAGTGGATGACATCTTTCACCATCAAATTTGGAAGGCAGTTAAGAAGTTTATGAACATGCAAGATGAGTTTCAAATGCTCAAGAGCTTGCATGAAGACAAGAGGCATTATATTGGATTTTGTTGGACTTAGAAGAGTGATCAAGTTATAAACAATTACGAAGTATTAAGTATTTATTTTATATTATTAATTTTTTTATAATTGTCATACATTTGTATGTATTTTGTTTATGAAACAATTGGTCATTATGTTATTTGAAATTATGTTAATAATAGTTTGTTCATGAATCATTTGAAATGAAGTTCTAGTAATTGTCAAACAACTTCATAATTTGAATTAAAGAATTGAATTCTTGTGATTATCCAAACAACATTTAGATTTCAAATTATGAATTATGAACTTTATTTGTTTGCCAAACATGGGAATATAATTTCATATTATAGAATTGAAATTCAAGAATTGAAATGAATTCTCATTTCCGAAATCCGAAGGCTACCTTAAGGAATTGAAATATTGCTCGCAAAACTTCTCTCCCATTTAAACAAATTACAACTACTCACTTTTCACCTTAACACTTCTAAAATCTTGTGAGAGTCAAACAAGTTTTTTTTACGAGTTCTCTACATAAATTTCAACCATACAGCCACACTATTCTTTTAACTCCATACAACTTGTTGCACATGTGAGGCTTATTCTATGGTATTGTTTATGTTAAAACATATTTGCAAAAACTAATAGATTACCGATCCTCGAAATGAACACTAGGATGTGTCAGCACATGTTCGAAGAGACGAATAGCGCAGCAAAACTTCTTCTGGTTCAAACTTGATAATGTGGTCTAATATCGGTGTCATTGGTAATCCCACAATCTGGACTAGGGAGTTCGAGTGCCCATTTATAAATGTGCTAGTAATCTGCAAGAAGATAGACATATATATATATCGGTGGGGTTCTAGTGACACCGGAGTACGGTGACACTCCGTATATATATAGATGTGCATCAAATTATGACAAAGTTTTGTTGCTGTTCTATGAAAGAAGAAAATATTCTCCTCTTCCCCACAACAAAATTCTAAGGAACACCTCCACCCTTCATCTGTTACAAGACACCGAAATTTGTTTTTAAGAAATTCATTTAGAAAACCACCCCAAATAGGAGTAAACATACTCCTAACTCATATCCCCAAAACAGGAGTTCTATGTTTTTATCCCCGAAACAAGGGCTTGCATGTGACATTGTAGCGCTAACATTATTGGCATTGTAACTCCTATTATGGGGATAAAAACATGGAACTCCTATTTTGGTATTTTTCCCAAAATATTTCCCACGTACCAGCCGAAGTAAATTCAGACTAGCACATGGGCGAAGATTGTTCAAAAATGGACGAAAATTTTTACAACAATGAATAACAAGTGTAGGATGAGGTAATGACCACGTACTTAAACATGAGTACAATTTGGTCGCCTCCGTGAGCATCAAAGTGGTGTGTGATTGTTACTAGTATTAAAAAACTCATAATAGATATGACAAGGCATCCGTACCTGTGTGCAACCAAAAAGCTTAAGCAGTTTGAGGGAGATGCAACTGTCTACAATCACTCCTAGCGAGTCATCGGTTACTCTGCGACACCATGATAAGTCCAAATAATATAGTTTTATTGAACATTTGGCAAGTGAGAGCGCAGTACTTGGGCCAACCTGTTAGTGTTCCCAAAAGACAATGCACCAGTCATGTATATTGTATAGTAGACAATATATGACAAACAAAAACTAAAATAAGTTGTAGTCATCATCATTATCAGCACCTTAGTACCAACAATGCTGACATGAATGTAATAGCATCAATTAAACGTCTATAATTGGTTACTAGACTTACCACTATAAGTGCCAATGGAGCGAAAAGAGTTAATAATGACAATATTTTAGTTGGGGGTATGTAGTGGAAGAAATCAAAATGACACATTCAACTTCTTCTACGCTTTAAATTTTATGAAGTTTTAGGTAGTAAATGAAACAACATGTCAAGACCAACAGAAAAAGCCATGCTTCAGAATTAATAGGCTTACCTTTGAACAATTATTGAGTGAAAGTTCTTCCAAAGATTGCCCGGAAGCTTCCAAATATGCAGCAATTGCTTCATCACTAAGCATGTACTTTGTAATAAGTATAATGTACTCGGAGTAATAGATAACTTGAATACAAACAAAATGACTGGTATGTTCCTGGTTATCATCACATGAATGCAAGATAGGGAAGCCATTGAAGACTAACATTTATACTCCCTCTGTCCCTAAAAGAATGTCAAATCTTAAAGAAATACAAAAATTAGGAGACACTAATATTTGTTGTCTCATTAATATGCATGTTGGAACTAGTGAATTAACTCAATGGAAATTATCATCTAATCGTTTCAATGGGTATTGATTAATGATATTTCTTGGAGTATGCAATATACAATTTCTAGGTTGTAATATACTTTTATAAGGATATGGAGTAATTCCGAAGTGGATTTGACAAGTATTTTGAGAGATCAAAAAGTTGAAAATTTGACACTTTTTAGGGGCAGGGAGTATACTTTTTAAAAAAAACTGAAGGCTTTCGTAAAAAGTATCTTAAATACATACAAAAAAATCTTGTTAGACCTTCAATGTCAGCATACATCCCTAAAAAAAGTCTTGTTTTTACAACTTTTTCCATCCCAAGATCCAGCATTATAATTTAATTCTAAAGTTTAAGCAAAATTCCTTAAAGCCAAGTGGCAAGCAAGTAAATACTCCAAACAATCACATTTCTAGAACTGATTTCAAATCATACTGCCTATTTCCCATTTTTATCTTCCTTTTTTTCCTTTTTCGCTTGTCCCTAATTAGTTTTTCCTTTTTTCCCTTTAAGGAAAGAATTTTATGATTTATAGGGCCTCCATATTTAAATAAATTTCTCACAATTTTAGTCTTAAACTCCATATAAAAGTAAATGAGAACATAAAATTGAGACGGGGGAAGCATTTCTTATAGTATTACACTTACGATTAAACTGTACGGAGTATTATATTAGCTTTCAAAAAGAAGATTGCTCTATTATATTAGTATGATGACATTATACATTTCTATACAATGAAATTATATGAAATTCTGAATACAACTCCAATAAAGTCCCACAAATATATGAAATTCTGAATCACATAATAAATTATATACGATATAAAACAACATACTCCTTCCGTCCCACTATGTTTGGGACATAACTCATGATGGAGTACCATGAAAATTAAGAAAAGTAAGATTGTGTGGTTGATATTGATGCTAATAAATACTCCCTCCGTCCCAATTTAAATTGTCTGTTGTTTACCAGATTTGACTAAAATTATTTTCAATGCAATTTATTTAAAAATTGGTATGGAATTAAAAAATAAAATTTATCTACCTAAAAACTACATCAAAAGTTCTACAAAACAAGAGGTTGCATGATTATACTATTTTATCAAATAAGTGGCGGAAATGAGTAAAAAATGTGGTTAAAGCTTGATCCAGTGAAGTGAATACTATACAGGCAACTTAAATTGGGACGGAGGGAGTAAGAGAAATTAAGAATGAATGTGAACCATGCAAACAAAAAGGTAAAAAAAGACAAAACTAGAGGCGCGGATGGAGTACTTATTACTCCATCCGTCCCAATTTAAGTTGCCTGCTTTTGTAAACGATGTTTGACTAAATTATTTTCAATTCAATTTATTTGAAAATCGGTGTGAACTTTAAAAATAAAAGTTATATATTAAAAACTACATCAAAAGTTCTACAAATTAAGAGGAGACATGACTATACCTTTTTATCAAATGAGTAATAAAAATTGGCAAAGTGGTTAAATTTGACAACTTAAATTGGGACGAGGGAGTATTCACTAAGGTCTGAGTTTTATTTACATATTAAAAATGTCGGTGAATATCCGCTCTGTTCCATCCCATTCTGTTATGGAAGGATCCATTAGACCCGAATCTCTACCCAGGACCACAAAATAATGGTACACTATGAGACGGGGGGGGGGGGTCCATGGTGTTTCAGTTCTGGTTTTTAAATTTGAACATACTTGAACTTTGGTTTGATTATGGAGAATTTCTAATCCCCTGGTTCCCCCAACCATCCTCATAAAAACAGATACCAAGCTTCGTAGAAGATAACAACGAACAAGCATTGCATCACAAAAATAATGAAAGGAGGATAGACAGAAAGTAAAGCTGATGCACGATTTTCAAAATGAAGCTAGCAGGATGATAGGAGCTGACCTGAAACTATTACAACGAAGAACAAGCCTCTGAATTGATCTACAACCATTAGCAAGAAACTGTAGTCCTACATCTGTTAATTTATGCAAGTTTGAAATATTTAAAGAGAGCAAATCTGCACATGCACCTCCAATAGCCTTCAGAGAACAATCTGTCAAATTCCTGTAGCCAATGCGAGTAGTCAACAAGTTAATAATAATAATAACAATACTTTGTATTAATTATTACCGAGTATAATAATAGCAGAAAATAAAAACACCAACAACAATAAAAACACCAAAAAAAATAGAAGTGCTCTGGGTTCAAACATTTTATTTAATTACATCAATATGGACCTACTCGCAGTCAGCCAAATCGAGCTCCTTTAAATTTTGGCCGCATGCCGGAAGCATTTGACAAACAAATTGGTCACATATTGTTTGAATTCCAGCAACAGATAACACTTCTAAGTGTTTTAAATTCTTCAATCCAGATATTATTTGCATAGCATCTATTCTTTGGCATTCATTTATGCGCAGCTCCTTCAGAGATGAACACAGTGACTTGGATATAATGTTGATGCAGCTATGTGTCAAAAGAGAGCACTGCCCCAAATCTATTGACTGCAGTATAGGTGCTTCTGCAACAAGTAATCTCAGCCCATCATCTGACATGCGGCATGCACCCCTTAGCGATAAAATGCCCAACTTTGGCAACCTATGTGAAGATCGCAGTAAGGTTTTATCCAACACATGATCAAGCAAGCATTGCCCACATAGATCAAGCTGGAGGACCTGGTTGCATGGCACCAAGGAAATGAAGAAGGATAAACCCATTGTATAGTGAAGTACTGAAATTAGATAGCTAAGATTTCCTAAATTGCTAAACAAGTTCTTAAGTTTTCCTTGATATTTGAGCCATTATATGAAAAGTACGAGTATATCTTTGAATTTTCAAACATTGGAGAATTTTTAATGCATTGGTTTGATTAATGATACTGTCATTATTGTGCTTGGTTCCAAAAAAAATATCTTTATTAGGTGTTGGCTTAAATATATGTAAAGTTTATGCTTAGGCATGGTGTAGTGATCAATGAGTGTACATTTGTAAGTAAAGTTTCAATTTGTGGAATTCGCAATATGATGATTTCTTTGCATCTGTATTCCATACCCAAACTTGTTTATATTCGCTAATCCATGCATGAATGAACATGCTTAAAATGTACTTTGACTTGTGTTGTACTATATATGTTTCGTTAGGTGTTGCAAATTTTCTAGACATAGTTGAGTATAGTCAGTTTTGAGTGGTATGCAGGTAGTCTTTTGGATACAATCTTGGGCTGCATGCAAACATGGTGACAAGAGAATCTATATGAAAGATACGCCTCAAAGAAGATACATACATTGTTTTTGAAGAAATCAGGAGAGGATGTGATTTTTTTATATTCAATTTTTAGCTTTTATTTTGAGATAGCGGAGTATACATACGTAAACTGCATTATAAAGTTTCATTTTTGGTTCTGAACTTCGGAAATATGACGAGAACTTAAAGTTTCTTTAAAGAAGCACTTCGAAATTTAGGAGTGTTAGATATCTACATGGTTTACATTACTAATGTTGCTTATAAATTTTTTTTTTATAATTTGCAATTTATGGTTTTTATATTGCGTATTTTGTTCTTGTATACTCCGTAAAAGACCCTTTAATGGAGTTTGTTGCCAATTACATGTCATGCTGAGTTTATATTCAATGTTAAATTCAAATTTTGATTGTTTAATTTTATTTTATATAGTTAAACAAAATGCTTTCCATGCAACGCACTGGGTACAAATCTAATAAATGTAAAATGAAAAGAAAAAAATGTCAGTATTACCAGCAAGTTTTGTCCATCAAAGTCTCCAAAGGACTTAGAGAAATCATCTTCTGTTAGCCATGAACAGTCCTTAACCCGGATTTCAGTTGGAGAACCTTGCAAGAGGAGGCCAAACAAACGAGAGTTCATCTTCCTGGCATCACAGAGCAAGTCAACAATCTTTCTTCTCAATATGTCAGGGACACAATCAAGTGAAACTAGGGCATAAGCATTTTTCAGAAGCGTTTTCAAAGAAAGATCTTGTAGTGAAGGAACAAGAGGAGCAGAAATATTATCGGACGTATTTTGACGTCCTCTCCAAACAATTAATTGCTGAGCACTCTTTTTCAGACAACGCTCTCTGATTGTCTTCAATGCATCTGAAAATGGTCCAGGAGAGTTTAGTAGTTGCTCATCAGCTTCTAAAGAAGGTGTCATCTCTGTGTTAACTAAAGAACTCTCGTTAATAATCTCCTCTAGAGGATTGAACCGTGCAAATCGATAAGCACGATCTGTCGCAATTTCACGGTGTCTAACTCTGTCTGCCCTCTGCCTCGGTGCGTTCAATGCCCTTGCATTATCAGCAACAACCTGCTCTCTTCTGAGCTCAGTATTCCTAGCTGAGATCTGATTACTGGGTTGTGCTATCAACATAGGTTTGAACTGAACAGGCATCTTTGTGGCGGAATATGCACCAGATTGCTCTGCTCTATGTTTGTGATTTCCCTTCATAAGTGGATCACCATTTCGTCCTAAATTTACAGAGTCAAAGTGAAGTGATAATGCAGGATCAACATCCTGTTCAAATGCAAATTCACACCCCTCGGCAAGGATCTCCGTACCAATTGGCATGTTGGCTAGGGATAGCCAAGAATCGCCGACTTTTGTTTTCCCCTTTTCTTCTCTGGTATACCTCCGTACCCCACTAGACGTGCCACTATCAGCAAGAGACATGCTTAAATCCAGTTCACCTAACCGTCCAAATTTGACATTCCCAGAACTTCCACAAGCATTTACTCCATCAGAGAGTTTCCTTTTTCCCTTAACTTCTTTTAGAACTATTACATCCTCTTCATCACCATCGTCATCAGATAAAATCTCAACAATTTCCATAGTCATCTCACCAACCACGGGAGTAATATCAAATCCCTCATCCTCTGCATCCCAAACGGACACGTTGAGATCAAATTCAAACTCTCTTTTCTCATAGCCAACACCCACATTGTTATTTAATTGTCTTACAGTGCTACAAGATGCTTCATTTCCCTTGGAAATATTATCTTTACATCTAACGCTTGATTCTCCGAGACCTACACCTACCACCCCATCCTCTATCCTAGCCTCTCCTGTCATGTCAAATGCACCACCTAAACTTTTATCTAGCCACTCAATAACTCTCTCTTCTTCTAACCCTTCGAAATCTAATTCAATTTCTTCCAACCCCCTATTTTCATCAGCTAAATTCTCACCAACTTCGCCCAGTTTAAACCTAAATTTCTTAGTCTCTGAGTTTCCATCCGCGCCCGACCTTTTCGTTCCTCTCCTATCATTCACAGCCTTTTTACAGAATCCATTTTCAGCTAAACACTCCATGTTTATTTGCGGATACAAGCATGTGATATATATTTCTTCAGCCAAACAAAATCAAACCCCCATAAACACACCAAAGTTTCAGCTTACATGTAGAGTCGCCATTAAAATGACTCCGCCCGCACAAAATTACTTTATATACCCATGCATACATATGGAAAAGGCAAATAGATAAACTCCGAACCAAATTAACTCGAAAACGAATGAAATTAGCACGATCTGCGCCGGAATTTGAGCGGCGGCGGTGAAGAGGCGGCAGAAAAGGAATGAATGAGGCGGCGAAGCAACCGTCATCCTCGTATCTCCTTCTTCATCCCCTTGAGAAATCCCATTTTCACTAAAATCTTATGATCCTCCGGCCATGGCCAGGAGGCAAAGACCAGTGAAAAAGTGCGAAGAAACGTGAAGAAGCTCCGGGAAGTGGAAAGTGGAAACCACCAACAACCTACCTCCTTCGGCACCCAAAGTACTTAAAACCACTCACACCTTCCTTGCTCTATTTTATTTAACTTATTTTTATTATTTATTCGTTTAAGAATTAAATTACAAATAATTTTAAATATAATTTATATTCAAATTAGATTAAAATTAATTTTAATCTGATCAGAATTAACTTCAAATCAGATCAGATGAAGTAAATAAGCCCTAATTGTCAATAAACTTTGTAAGTTTACAAATAACATAGAGCAGAACTCTATATATTCACTTTATCATCTCAATTTATGTTGTTCGTTACTGTTGAAAATGCGGCGCATTCAATTTAAATTATTTTAAATTTAATTTACTTAAAAGTTACAGAGTACGATGAAATTCAGAAATAAAAAGACTATATACTCCGCATTTAAAAATTATATCAACGATTATTCTACACAAATTTGATATGACTATACTTCTAAAGAGAATTATTTTATCAAATGAGAAACAAAGATAAGTAAAGAAAGTAATTAAAATTTTAATAACGTGAAGAGTAAACAACTGACTTAAATTGGGACACATAAAACAATTATTATGATGTGCAAAAAATTTAAAAATAAGAATGAGTATAGATCATACAACCATTAATTAAAACAAACATTTATGATATGATATACTCCGCCTGTCTCTAAAAGATTGTCATGTTTGACTTTTTTTGTCAAACTGTAGCATTCTTCTGCCGTGAGTTGTAGGAAAAATATATTTAGTTATGATGTAAGTTTAGTAATATTGAGTTTAATTTAAAATATAATTTTGGAATATCAGATTTTTATAATATGTAACTATTTTAAACTATATTTAATTTGTAATAAAAAAGTGCCACAATTTGACTAAAAAAGTCAATCTGTGGCAATTTTTTAGAGGCAGATGGAGTAACATGAAAATAATAGAGCAAAGAAAAGGTAAAAATAGACAAATCCAACGAATATGTTTCTATCAGTTGCTTAGAATTGGTTGGGTAAGTTAAAAAAAAGCTACTTGTGCATCAAAACTTGTACCTTAAATTGTACATCACATGTATGCATTTTTATTGTGTTAGTGTGGTGCTAGTGTAATGGTTCACACATGCACAAAGTGTTAGTAGGATATATTTTTTATCACATTATCGAAGTGTTGGTACATATCTTTGGTGTATACTTTGAGGTGCACTTTTTGGTGCACCCCTAACATAATTGAAAAAAGAATTAAGCTAGGGGTACCCCATGTTAGTGTACCCCTAGCATTACCCTTGAAAAAAATGTTTAGCTGATGCATTCTTAAAAACGTAATTCATCGGTAGAAAAAATATTAAATCGTGTACCAACCTAGTAAGATTCGGCCTAACACAAAAAAACCGTGAAAAGAAAATAAGTTAGGCAACCTATTAGACTCATTAGTTCACTATGAGTTGAGCTAAGTAATATATGCTCTCCGTTTCAAATGAAGTTGTGTGTTTAGAGAGTCAAATTTCATTCACTTTTTTTTTGTTATCCATTTGATAAAATAGCATAGTCATGTCATCATTTTTGTAGGACTTTCAATGTCATTTTTACATATATAAATTTTATTTTTTTAATCTTACTCTAATTCTTAAATAATTCTTAAACCAAAAATGGTGAAAACCACTCATTGCATGAGAAATATTCTTTCGTAACTAATGAGTATAAACTCAATACTGACCATGTCAAACATGCTCAATCTAGTCTATGAGAAAGATTATATAGATTGACTTATATCATACAACTGGCTGTACGGGAAGAGCCTTACAGCCGGCAAAAATTGGCAGCAACACGCCAGCACTCACAATTGGATATATAGCGACATCTGGCGATCAGAAGAGGAAGCGACGAAGAGAAGACGCAGGTAGACGAATCACAGATGAATCATGAAGTCAAGGCAAACCAATTGACCCAACGAAGATGGCAACAATGGCGGTGGAACCGAAACCCTTTATAATTGATCTAGGTGGGGTTACAATAACTAGAAACAGAAATAGATGATAAGCCAAAAACATGAGTTACAAAAGCGAACTAAAAGGGAGATTGATAAGTGCCTCTGAAAGATGGTTTATGGCCAGGGAGCTACAACGATGGCATTGCAGTGACGGGGGGAGTGAGCTGCAGCCCAGGCCTCGATTCCCAACCCTTTTTACTCCTGTAGGCCTCAACTGCTTTAAGGCGAAGTCTCTCTTGTGAAGCTCCGTGTGCCATCTTCCGTACCTTCATTACACACATAGCATTCAGTGGAGAGTAGGATATCATTGACACAAACCACCTCAACATCTTGCCAAAATGATATTTCTCACACAACTGCACAAGAATAACTTTTAAAAAAAATGAAATCCAACAGAAAACATAAAAAACATGCTTTTTAAGTTTCTAAAAAAATCTTCAACATCAATATCAGTTTTTTATGGAGTGCTTAAAAATAGGTGCGGTAAAAAACAGTTTTCTATGTGGGTTTGGAAAACAGAAAAGAGTGAAGATATTTTATGTTTTCTGTTTTCCAGAAACAGTTTGAACCCGGCCCTGACATTTCTGTTTTTTGCTATATGTTTCTTGTGTTTGTGTCCATGCAACATAGCTTATATTTGTAGTTATTAATGAAGTCATATCTACCTTTGGGAGAGCCACCAGCTTGGGAGGAGCATCAACAACTTCCCCAAATTTTATTTGTTCATGCCTAGGGAAGTCAAACACTTGTGTCTCGGTTGGCTTGTTCTTCTTTTTCCTCCTATCTTTCAAGTGCCTGCATAATTCCAAACAATCGCAATTCAAAAAAGGAAACAAAAGTAACTTCACCAATCACAAATAGAGAGTTTGATATCACAATGTGGAAAAAAAAGATACAACGCTTGCATTGCAGCTGTCAATGGCTCAATGCACTAACAACTTCTGCTCTCACTAATAAAATTGAACCCTAATAATAATGATTGTCAAGAAATCGTTACTAGCTTTCCCTATTAAGGGCACAAACAGAAAACAGATTCTCAATTAAGAACGTTAGGATCATACTGTTTCCTGCGTTCCTTTCGTTTTGAACCAGTACCGCCAAATTCTTCAATTGATTCAAATCGAAGGTCATGTACTTTTTTTCTTTTCTTCTTCTTGTTTTTCTTTTCATTGACATCACTTTTTGCAGGCAGATCATCATTAGTTTTCCGTTTGACTCCGGACATGTTACTGGTGTTTTTCTCTTCTAAATGATGCGTCTGTTGACAAGAAGCACATGGACATTAATCAGCCAGAACAATTTGATGTCTCAGTTAAAAAATCACAATAAGCACAAAATGGTACAGAGGAGCCTAGGAGGATGGTTTTCGAGAAATGGGTGATAAATTAGATGGGGAAATTTTTCCAGACTCCAAGATTATGAAAAACACAAACTTCAATGCACACTTGTAAACCCGAACAATACAGATGTAGGCATATAGCATGATGCTTACAAATCATAAATCTGAAAATGAACAATGTTTAAAAAGAAAATGAGGATCCGATCGTCTGACATATTCAAATAAGCATTCCTCATAAAAACATGAGGATTTTTTATATTAAATGAACATTATTAACAGAAAATGACTTACGTAAAGAACATAAACCATACAACAAAAACTTAAATTGAGCATTTTTTGGAAGAATAATGAACATTCATATAAAAACTACACAATTAACACGACATCTTGAGTACATCTGGATGCACGGCACATATTCTATTCTTTTGGACTTAATTTCAGTTAAGGTTTCGAAATTTGAAAACCCCAGAAACAGACGGAAATTGAATTGGCAAACGCACAACATTAAGAGATCATACTTTGAATACCTTTGTACTGTCCTCGTCTCCTTTCACTGTTCTCCTTGGTGGTTTCTTTTCAGCTTCTAAAAAACAGAGAGCAAAAAGGAATTGAAGAAGGGGAAAAAGAAGATGTACAGTTATATATACGGATTATACAAGTTTAACCATGAATTTGGAATCGTAACTCACCTGTGAAAGCCATGAGCTTGCGGAGCTTAGAAGGGAGGGCATCAATGGAGGAAAGGTCCGGTGGGGGAGGGAGCCTGGCGGTCCCTCCATGTGATGCTCTGTAGTTCTTCTCCCTTCTCTTTATTCCCTTGCCTCCCATCTTCTCCCTCCTCCCCTTTCTCTCTGTCGAATTGATTTTTCTTAAACCCTAATCCAGTCCAGAAGCTCCGAGTTTGACCCGATTCACAGCAGATAGCCCGATACTATCTAATTTTCAATTTTTTATGGATTGAAAAGCAAAAAATGTGAGAAGCACCTTTGAGATTTTTTAGAGTAGTAGTCATTTTGTAGTAGTGCATTTTCGAACATTTCAATTTATTTACTAAATTGCCACCAGTTTTTCAACTTTTTCAGTTTTTTTGTTTTTCATTACCCTTAAATCTTCAATATTTCTTTCACGAAAGGCTCAAAATTATGATTGCGACTCAAGAAAAGATTTTTATTTATTCTAACACGTCCCCAAATATTTAAAAAAATTTATTAAGATTTTAAATGACTAAAAAACTTGAGAAAAATGAATATTTAACGTCATAAAGTTCAATAAAAGTGTTGGAAAATAAAAGAATGTGTAACACCAAAGAGAAGACAAGCTTCGCTCTAAGAAAAATTAGTATTTGAGACTTGGTGGGGTACGTCAGGCCAAGACGGTAGTGGAAGACCAAGGCAACGCTTGAAAGCCCAAGACAACAAGCTGACTTTGATGGGCTTTCCCCCTTAAAAAATAGAGTTAATATCGTTCAATACAAATATTAGTGTATCACTAATTACAAACCAATACTTCCACTTATACACTTCATTAATGTTTAAAAAAGTTACATCCACTCTTAAGAATTATCATAGCTTGATTTGTTTGATTAAACACATCAAGCAATATGTTTATGCGAGGTTAGAAACTATCAACTAATATTAAAAAAAAGTGTGCTGCAATAAAGACAATACTGAAAATAAATGTTAAACTGGGGTTTGGTGGGGTGCGCAAGGCCAAGGCAGTAGTGCAAGACCAAGGCGACGCTTGAAAGCCCAAGACATCAAGCTGCCTTTGATAGACCTTCCCCTTAAAAAATAGAGTTAATATCAAGCTGCCTTTGATAGACCTTCCCCTTAAAAAATAGAGTTAATATCGTATGGGCCAATGGCCCATATATCAGATATTAAATTGATAAGAACAGATACTACACTTGATCTTAGCCAAAAGGCCGAGAAAGGTATGCCTTACTTTAAAAACTGCTCTCGCCTTTTATTAGCTCTCAGCGGATATCGCTCTTCTTATGAAACCGGTGTGGGAAAGTAGCATCCTTTGAACTGGTGCACCTCGCTGTCCTCGCCTCTACTTCTCGGCTTTTGGCAACGCTAGTAAAGCAATTACCCTAATATATTCCCTTGACCTTTATTACTAATAATTAATAATTAATGTACTCTATAAAAACGATAATTATTACAATTTTTTTAACTATTAAATATAGGATTTATTAAACCCCCAGCCCGAGTAATCCTTTAAACAATCGGGGCAATTTTATTAACTACCGCGCTAACCCTTTAAATATGATTTCGCAATTTTATTAACAGTAACCCCCAATCGCCCCGGCCTGAACGCCCCCCCCCCCCTCACTCCTTCAATTGCAACTTCTAAGTTAATTTTAATTTTGGAGTCGATGTGTTATTTATTAGTTGGTATTTTATTAGGATTATTGTGAAGTTCTTCCCTCTCCCGATAGGTTTAACGTATCACACTCAAAATTACTATTCAGGTAATATTTTTAAATAGTGGTTTATGACATTTTTTGGGACAGAGTAGTATAATAGTTGAGTGAATTTATTCTCAAATCTTTTAATTTAAGTATATAAGGGTATAACTAATAAATAAAATCAATATATTTATATACTCCGTAACACATAAAAATGCTACAAAACACGAGCTGTTACTATTTTAGTATTTTTCATATCAAATGAGTATAGTAAATATGTGAGAAAAAATATTTGGACTTTTAATCACTAAAGACACTTTTGATAAATTAATTTAGTAACGTTGCACATATAGTAAAATAAAACAAGAGTTATCAAGTGTGGCTCAACTTCTATTCCATCACAAGATTGATTTCCTCCAAGGTAAGTCGATCGAAAACATGATTCACAGTAATAACACTGTTTTGTAGATGAATATTTTGTTTGAAAGAAAAGGACTCATTAGAGACACTGCGACTAACAACATTGAGAACATCAGGTTATGGTTTATGATAATTTTTTTCTAAAATAAAAGTAAATGATACTATTTTTTTCAGAAGCGGTACAAAGTTGTGAGCCTTTCACTTTACACTTAATACATTTGGTCCAAATCATTCTCAAATCTTTTAATATAAATATTAACTAAAATCAATATATTTATATAATACATCAAAAATGCTATAGAACACAAGTTGTCATTACTATTTTTCATAATAATTGACTGTAGTTGTCAATATATTCTAACACGCTCCCAAATATTTAAGAAAATTTATTAAGATTTTTAATGACTAAAAAACTCGCTTGTGAGAAATGAACATAGTAACATCACAAAGTTAAATAAAAGTGTTGAAAAATAAAAAAGATGTGGTTAGAATGGAGGGATAAAAGTTTGCTTAACTGCATATTCTTTCTTTCAAAAGGAAATGTTTTTTTCTAATAGATAAAAAAGTGAAGTAGAAAGATTTTTTACAAAATATGTGGGACACTTTTTTAATAAAAAATGATTAAAATAAACTAGTAAGAGTCCCACACTTTCATTAATGTTCGTCAAAAGAAAGATTTACCCCGACCCTTATATTCTACCCTCTGCTTTACTCTTGATTCAAAGTCCATAAAAAAATAAAAAAAAGTTCCCAATAAGAAAAATTAGTATTAGAGACTTGGTGGGGTGCACCAAGCCAAGGTAGTAGTGCAAGACCAAGGCAACGCTTGAAAGCCCAAGACACCAAGCTGCCTTTGATGGGCTTTCCCCCTTAAAAAATAGAGTTAATATCACGTGGGCTAATAGCCCACATATCAGATATTAAATTGATAAGAACAGATACTACACTTGATCTTAGCCAAAAGGCCGAGAAAGGTATGCCTTTATAACCTATCAGCTCTCGCCTTTTATTAACTCTCAGAGGATAACACTCGTTTTACGAAACCGGTGTGGGACAAAAGAAAGTCGCATTCTTTTTTTCGCATTCTATGTCCATCTGTTGATCTACCAAGAAGTATTTATGTGTCTCAAATAAATTTTATCTTTTTTCGTTATTCTGTATTTTTTAAAAATGTAGTATACAATGTTTTTTGTTAAAGTATAAAATGTTTTTTAAATAAAAATTATATATTCACGTGTATCCACTTTTTGATTTCTTTTTAATCCGTTGGAAATCAATCATGATACTTGCAGGGATTTCTTTGTTGCCAATAGGTGGAAGAACTTATTTGTATGACTATATTGTATTAGTATTTTTAAATGCCTCATGTTGATTTTGAGCTAATTTGAATTTGGTGAATTTATAAACTAAAAAGAATTGAAATAATTTATTTATCTCTATATTACGGAGTATATAAATATAAAAGAGGGCTAGGTACCCCTTAATATTATGCATCTTTTCCATCTAAACAATATGTACATTTAGCTTTAGAAGTTGTACCATGTAATTTAAACTCCACCCAACCCCTACCGTTAGGGGTGGACGCAGTCCGTGACGATCTGTGATATCACCGGAACCGATCACGAATTGCTCTTATTTAAATGGTTCGGTATCGGTACGATATGAATCCTAAAACCATTCGGTATCATTCCATTTTGAAACGTAACGGTACAGTACCATAATCATGTTCAAACCGTGCCAAAAAAATGAACATTCATCACAAAAAATATTAAAATAAAAGGATAATTTTGTATATAACAGCACAACTTATTTAAATAGAAGTATTGATTTCAAATTTAAAATGATCATAAACATAAAAAATAAAAGATGATGAGTTTAATTTTTTAAAATATATATATTTTCAATTCATACAATATCAGACGATTAATAACTCTCTAAAAATAATGGCAATAGTAGTAATAAATATAATTTCAACAATATTAATGAAAGAATTTTAAAAATCAATAATACCATACAAAGTACTCCATATACAGTAAGATAAAGTAGACAAATAATTATTTGAGATACTCCTTATATAGCTTTGAACGATTCGGTCTGTAATAATCGGTTTTAAAAATTTGTATCACGGTCCCATCCCGTTTGATATCGGTTCGGTTTCGGTTCGTGATGAAAAAAATCAATCTCATTTAAAAACACTATAAACGGTTCGATACCATTACGTTCCGGTATGATATCATGCTTGTTCGGTTTTTTTGCCGACCCTTACCTACCGTCGTTAGTTTTGGTTAATTTTACTTCCTCATAGACAAAGTTAAAATTAATTTTCAAATATCATTTAATAAACTCATGACATTACTTTAGAAACAACCAATTCCAAAATATATACCGAGTATACTCTAACTATTAAAATTAGAATTTTATCTGAAATTCAGCTAGCACCCTAGATATTGATTTGAACTTGGACATTGTGAAAAAAATAATATTAATATTTTCAAGAGTGGAACTCACCATAGCTTTTGCATAAACAAGAAATTCACAAATCCTATAAAATCAAACCGGGATACACGACAAGAAAATCTGAACTTCTAATTAGAAAAATTGTTACTACAGTAACGATAGAAAATCTGATATACTTTATCCTATCATTAAGAGTATTTTTGTAAACTTTACCTCATTAAACATACACGACCCAATATACACATCAATCAATTTGAATAGATTTATGGCGGACGGAGAGAGTAACAAAAAAGTGTGACAAATGCGGGACACTAAATTTGATGGGGAAATTTTTTTAATGCTAAAGTCACAAACAAAAAACTATAAAATGTGAGTTTCTCTACTGGCTTGAATGGTAGGAAGCCACTTCTTAAGATTCATATAGAAGTGCACTCAGGTTCAAGTTCCAATGAAGGCCGAAGCATTGACCATTTGTTCGTTATTAGATTGAAAAAACTATAAGTAGATATTATATTATAATCGAGTCAATAACACTTAAAAAATAGAATATTTACAAACATTTTTTTTGAAAGGTGAATATTTACAAACATGTTTTAGTGAGTTTCGAAATACTCCGCAATAAGTTTGGGCACTCTGTAGATTTTTTGTGTGTAACTTTAACCTTTTTCTTCTATCAATAAGGGGCTAATATATTGACTGCATCACACTAATTTGATGAGGAATATAAAAAATACTACCTCCGTCCCCCTATATTTGTCCACATTTAACTTTTAGAACTGTTCAGCACTTTGACTCATCAAATTCTCTCAGTTGTAAGCTTAAATATAGTCATGTGTGATCTTGTTTGATTTGTCTTAACATATAGATTATTAATATATAATATTTATAATTTTTTAATATACAAATTACAAGATAAAATGGATTAAAGAAGTGCATTGGATGGTGTGTTAAAATGAAAGTGGACAAATACAGGGGACGGAGGGAGTATATATTTCACATTTGATTGCTCGTGTTTTTCAATGCGTCAATTTGATAATTCATGTACATACTAAATAAAATATATATTTGTCTAGTTTTTGTCTAGTTTTTACTTTTTTAGTGAACTGTTTTCAACTTTTGAACTATAATTAAATAAAATATATATTATATATTAATTAAATAAATAATATTTGGTAAATAATTCATGTAGTAAATCTAATAAAATTATTTTTGTATCAATATCTAACATCATTTTAGTTTAAATATATTTGTACAAATACTCTGGGACAAGGTATTCACTATATTTGTTGAACTTTTGACGTAGTTTTTTAATATATAATTTTTATAGTTTATTGATATACCGATTTGTAAATAAAATGATTTCAAAAAGTAGGAAATTTTACTTCGTAACACGTAATTTGTAATCAAATTGGGGACGGAGGGAGTATTAAATTTACTCGATATACTCCCTATTATAGTGGTCTGTAACAAAAAAATTTGATGAAACCTTTGCATTGTCAAGTCCAACACCGTATAGCAGAAGCTCCTTTATC